GCAAAGCGCTATTCTAATCATTGAGGCCCCTAAATTAGGCATGGCATAGACGGCTTGCAGGGATTGGCCGACCTGATCGGGTTTTCTGTTCCGGGGCTTCGCAGCACATGTGGGTAGTTCTGAAAATTAGGGTCCCTTTCTGGGTCCCCCAAAGAGTACGGCACCCGAATAAAAAAGGACCCCAAGAGGGACCGTCATTTAGAACACTGCCCATGTACAAAGCCTGGCGAACTTGAATGTAGCAGAGCCACATGCTCCCACAACCACCGGCCCTTCAGTCAACTCAAACTGAATACACCCTGCACCAGCGAACCAAATCACTCGAGCCAAGAATCAGAACCCTTTCCGTGTCCCACAAACTCAATCCTCATTGATTTCATGTAGGACCAGGTGGTGGAGTGCAGTTTTCCGTTGAAGGGGACGTTCCACACGTTTCGAGGGCTTCTGTACAAGATCCGATAGACCCTTACATGCACCTGTATACGTAGTTTAAAGCTGAGGTGAAGCGTGTCACGTGATGCATAATGTAGTACTTAGTACCGTATGTGCGGGACCGGGACCGCCTTGTGGTAGACGTTGAATGTGATCATGTGACCAGATGTCAGATGCTTCTACTATTCTCGAGGTATAGACTCTGGCATTCGTTATCTTTACCTAAACCCTAAACCCTAAACCCTAAGCCCTAAACCCTAAGCCCTAAACCCTAAACCCTAAACCCTAAACCCTAAACCCTAAACCCTAAACCCTAATCCGTGTAACTTTTACGAAGAGTCCAGCAAGGTCGGGGTTGGAACTGTGAGGCTTCATGGCCGTGCAAGGACAAAAGATACAGAAAGGAGTTGGCCTCGCGGAATGCTGCGAAGGTGGGGGTTTTCAGAGGGTTTAGGGTTTAGGGTTTAGGGTGTTGTCACCTTGCAGAATGAGCTCCTGGCGGGTAGGGTCGTTAGGAAATCGATGGTCTTGACTTTTGAGTGTTCGGGTTCAGGAGTTCAAAGTGGCGGGCACGCTGTCCTGGTGACTGTTGAGTGATTTAGCGCATTTGCTTCTGGACCGGGTTTCTCTCCATCTACATTCCGGGTTGCTGGACGTCCTAAGGGGGAGTCTGCAACAGACAGAATACAGAAAGAGCAGAGTCAGCGTGTAGAAGCTTGCAAGGAAGTTTGGTTTAGGGTTCAGGGTTTGCAGTTGGGGTTAAGTGGTCATGCAGGACAGTATTGCGACTGTGAATGCCTTGACCTGGCGCAGGTTCTTCTTGCTCAATCTCTGACCTTGACATGCAGCGCTAAACTTCGAAAGCCCCGCATCACCGAAGGGCGAAAGCCGCGATAAACGGGCTCAGGTGCAGGGAATGCTTAGGGCTAAGGCACGGCTCAGGGTCTTCAGACAGCAAGCCTGCCATCCCAGCTAACCCGGCCGGAATTCTACACAAGCCCTCTCGACGCTACACTCCCGAAAGCCCCAGCGTAGCGTCGCAACCCTCAGCCCCTGTCCTATGTCCCAATCCACCAATGCCAGGCGGCAGCGATGGGCACCTCTAAGGCAGCCACAGGGTTGGTGGAAGGGACTAAAGGAGGGACCCTTAAAGGGACCCTTGGGGTTATATAGGGGCTTTATGAGACTATATAAAGGGTATACAAGGCGGGTTATATAGGGTATTCGGATTATATAGGGGTTTCTAGGGGTCCCTCCTATGGTCCTTGAATTGGTGCGGATCTAGCCAGAAGCTTCTTGGTGCGGGAAGTAATATATCAATATCTTGGCGAGCACCCTGCAGTGGCTTGTCAACGAATCTGAGACTGGGGTATCTCGGACCTTGAGGCTTTTGGAAGAGGCTGATTTGTCCCGCAGCTCAGTTGCAGGCGGCACCTGCATCGAAAGCTGCTCCGGCCGCGGCGCCGCCGGCCCCTCCCGCCGCAACTGCTGCAGCGCCAGCCGCACCAGCGACAGCAGAGCCAGCAGTTGGAGAGGCGGAAGCAAGTTGAGGAGCTACTATCGGGGCCTGAATAATTGGAATAGGGTTTTGGGGTATATTATATATTACATTATAATTAATAATACGGAACCCCTAAAATGGTGTAGGTAATTTTGGAGGCCCCATATGAGTTTCTTGCGAAGTCAGCTGTGGGGATGCTTCATCAACCCTAGTCTCTGCCTTGCATAGCCAGAAAGCCGTTTAGGGTTTAGGGTTTAGGGTTTGGGGTTTAGGGTTTAGGGTTTAGGGTTTAGAAGAAGTCAGGAACTTCAATTTAGGGGCTTCAATAATTCGCTATACTATTTTGGGGGGCTCCTTATTATAATTATGGTAGTATAGTATACCCCAAGACCCTATTCTGATTATTAAGGCCCCTAAACCTCTAAACCCTAAACCTCTAAACCCTAAACCCCTAAACCCTAAACCCTAAACCCTAAACCCTAAACCCTACTCTGATTATTAAGGCCCCTACATTATCCAACACCAGCATGCTCAGGATCTTGCTACCCAGGCTTTGGCACCGAAGTTTTCAACATGGTGGACGCTGAAAGAAGTCAAACCAACGCCCCATCCTCGTTGAGTCTAGGTTGTGGGGTCTAGGGTTCAGAGTCTAGGGTTTAGGGTTCAGAGTTAGGGTTTAGGGTTTGGGGGGTTTAGCGTTTAGGACTCGTTGAGCGACCAACTCACGGCCCCTGCAAAAAGGGCAAGCAGAAGAGCGCATACAGTACACGCTGGAGCAGAAGCCTATAGTGCGACCACTCTACACTCAAAGATGAACTTCCAAGCCCCTAGAGCCTTCCAGCCCTCGTTGCTATTTCATCCTTCGATCTTGAACTTTGTAGGTACAGATATTGTTCCAATAATACATTACTAAAGATACTGATAATAATAAGAGTAATCACAATAATAATAATAACAACAATAATAATAATAATAATAGTAATAATAATACAAATATTATAGGCTCAAGCTACTTTAAACTCTGACCTCCCCATGCCGAAAGCTTCTGCGGATCAGCCTTGAAGCGCAGGGCAAGCGCCCTGCTCCAGAGGGTGCCGAGGGCAACGCCGAGAAGAAGCCCAGGCGGGGCCACTCCCCCAGAAGCTCCAGGGTCTGTGGTCCCTGAACCCTTTTCCCTAGAGGTTTAGGCTTTAGGTTTCCCCAAAACCCTAAACCGTAAACCCTAAACCCTAAACCCTAAACCCTAAACCCTAAACCCTAAACCCTAAACCCTAAACCCTAAACCCTAAACCCTAACCGTGGCAGCTTCGGAGTCGCTTTCCATAAGGGGGTTCTATAAGGGCGACTGTAAGTGTGCTAGGATATAGGGGCCTTCATAGTTAGAATGTACTTGGAGGATCATGGGACTTAGTAAGTAAGGTTATAAGTCCCTTAATTGGGGTTATAAGTATAGTTACCCTAATTATAACCCTACTTACTAAGTCCCATGATCCTTTAAGTACGAGGTTCACAGTCTTGGGTCTTGGATCTACATCGTTCAGGGTTTAGTGACGTATGTACAGGCTTTGGTTAGGGATCTAAGACAGGGGCCTTATTTTCTTATCTATATTATATTGATTTGGGGGGTTCCTTGGTATAATTGTAATATAATGGGTCCAACAACCCTATTCTAATTATTCAGGCCCCTATATTAGAAGGTGTAGGGTCCAGGAAAGGTTTGGGGCGCATTCACTTCGTGTACGACGGCCGAAAGAGTACTTCGATTCGGTGTGGTGACTCTGCAGAATTCGACTGTGTTTGTGCAGACTTAATGACTTGCTGTAGCTGTTCTCTCGTTTGCCTGGTGGCATGCGCTGTTCATGCAATTCATACATCTCTATCTCTCTCTCGCCGGGTTGCCTGTGTACAGGGGCTTCGTCGAAGATCATTGGCACCCATAGCTGTCGATTAGTACAAGTTGCACACGAAGCATGGTGGAATCAAGAAGAGAGTACAGCTCAACACATCATTCATCGAACCAGGCGCGACGATCTAGGACTACTACTGCAACCTTTAACCTGAGAACCTTACACCCTGCTACCGTACCAGGAACGAACAGGAGACTGCAATGCTTGGGCGGATGCTCATGCAGGCTGTCCGGGGGGTCAGTCTAACGGTTCAAGTTTCAGGGCTTTGGGGATTTTTGGGTCAAGCGGCTGATGCATTCGAGCATTCGTGCAAACATCCCTTGCTGAGTAAGCTCATTGTGATTGAAGGCGTATTCTTTGCCGAGGGCATTTGGGATTGGGGTTTGCCACCGTCCATCTAACGAACATTCGGGCCTGTAATAGGCACACGGTTTCGCGGAGCGTGTGCAACTTGTTTCGGTGCCCTAGTGTATGTTCGCATTCTGCCCGCTGGTGTGGCGTAGCAACGAAATCATGTAATAGGGGTACTGCCAGTATAATTCATGAACTTTGCTACAGCAGCCACTATGTCGTCGTATCAGAGGGTTGCCACACGAGTCCTTGGGCAGGTAAAGCGTGCTTCTGAAATCAGCTCTCTCGCGAATCTTGTGTGCTCGAAATGGTGACTGCAAGCATGTACTTGAGTTGGCCGCACGCCACTCTCAAGACATGTTCGGAGGCAGAATGTAGTTTTTGAACCTTAGGCGAGCCAGCCAACATGAGAAAGATACAACACCTCGCACTTTTTGCTTTGTGCTTGGAAGTAGAGTATGTAAGCTGTAAGATACAACTGCAGTCTCGCCTCTGTCCAGTCCTACTACACTCTGGACCTACCAGACTGCCAGACTGTGTCCTCCACCACGGCTCGAAACCCTAAACGCTAAACCTTAAACCCCGAACCTTAAACCCTGAACTCTAAACCCCAAGCTCTAACCTAAATCCTACACCTTAAACCCTAAACTCTTAAACCCTAAACCCTAAACTCTAAACCTAAACCCTAAACCTAAACCCTAAACCCTAAACTCTAAACCCTAAACCCTCAAGAAAGTGATAAATAGAAATTGCTTGTTGCTGTTGGCCATCCGGAGCAACGGCGACCAGCCGTATGTCGACGAAGTGCC